GCACTGGCAGCTTCTTCCACCATGGCATGGATTTTGTGGCACAGCAGCAGGTGCCTGCTTGGTCCAGATCATGCAATTGTTTAGGTTGGAAAAGACCTTTAAGGTCATCGAGTGCAGCTGTTAGACAGGTGTAGATACACAAATGTTCCTGGGGGGGTGGTTAATGGTGAGGGTGTGGATTTCCCACAGGGACCAGTGAGGTTTTGGTGTGTGATGGGGTTATACAGCACCTCTGAGAACAGCTGGGTGACCACTGTGTGCTCCAGAAGATCTTCAGCCAAAAAGCAAAGGGGATCTACAGGACGCTGGACCCGCTGAGCCAGAGCATCCACTCCCCACAGTCATTTCTGTTTTCTCCTCTGCTTATCTGGAGATCACTGGGGCTGTGAAACCTCTCTTGAGGGTCCTTTTCCTCTAAAAGCCACTCTCCAAGTGCCTGTTATTCACCTGGTCCTGGAGACACTTCTCACATGACCCAACACATTGGCCACCTCACCATCTCCCTGCCACCGAGTTTGACCTTTTTGGCCTTCAAATTTCTACCCCAAAATCCCCAGCTCCAAAACTCTACTTAATTTTTAAAACTTCACTTTCTGAGGCCAGAGGCTCCTCTCCTACACATGCACACATGCTTTCTCTTTTACCCCATCCAGCTCTTCCTTCCTTTCTTCTAAACCGCGGGCAAACTTCCCTTGTGCCATCAGCTGCTTTTCCCAACAGCAACAGTCACAGGCTGATGTCAGAGGCTCTGGGAGGTGAATCAGAACAGGATAAAATGTTCATCTCCTCATTGCACATCACAAATCCCTGAATCAGCCCTCTTTCTTTATTTTCACCAAACACTCTTTGTTCTTGGATGCTCTGGAAAGGGGAATAGTGCACAGTGTTTATCCAGCCACCCCACACTTTGCATCTCATCCTCCTTTCCCTCGTTCCCAACGCCTTCCCTTTAGTGATGGCTCTGCCAGCTGAGCTCGTGGCTCCTCTGAACTCTCTTCCACGATCCTAGAAGGTTTTTTCCTCCCTTCCTGGGAGATTACAAGTAATTCAGTGCCCATCCATGCGTGCAAAAATTTAAATAATAAATCATCTCTCCCTGCCAGCGAACACCCATGAACAGGGATGCAAAGCCTCACTTCCTTCTGGCAAAGCAGGGCTCTGTCACAGCCTTGCCATTAATTTTGTGCAAATGCTGGGAATTGTGGATTGTGGGGCTTCCCACCTGCCTGCACAACCTCCCCCCGTTTCCCTGCTTGTTTTGGCTCTGCTCTGAAGGAAATGATTGCTTTGGGATTCTCCAAATGACAGGGAGGGGGAGCAGCGAAGCCCAGAGGAGCTGATTTGGGGTGAGGATCGAAGGGAAGAAATGGAAATAGAGAACAAAATATGGGGGTGTGGGGAGCTAAAAGAGCTGGTGTGTGACCCCCGTGCAGAGAGCCAGTGTGCTAAACTCTCTTCTACACCAATGTTAAAGGTTCTTATCCTTTAACTAACACAGTGGTGAGAGGTTTATTCAAGTAGAAAATTTTTAATTGCATTCTCTTGTAGTCAAATATTAATGGAAGGACCTTGTACAAATAAAAGTGAATAATGCAACAGCTTAGCTGACAACATTGTTTCACATTCATTGCAGATTGTGAACCTTCATTAAAATGGATTATTTTTGCTTTGGAGATTTAACCAGCAACATGACTTTCCCCTCTCGCTGGCCCTGTTATGCCTGAGCCCACAGAGAGCTCAGTCCAAGCAGGAGCTTGCAAAATTAATTCCGAAATAAGAGGCTGAAACTTCCAGGATGTGAATTCTTCTCATCCCTCCGGCTCAGAGGAGGGCTCGGCACAGAAATCATTAGGCAGGAGCTTCAACAGACCCCCAGGATGGGGGAGGGCTCAGGGGAGGTGGGCAAGGCATTGTGCTTGGGAAATGCAGGGAGAATATGAGCAGGGACCTGTTGTAAAGGAAGCTGAGCTCATCCTAAGACCAAGGCCTTTGCTTTAGGTCAACAGCTCTACCAGCTGGGTGGGTCAACTGCTGTTTCTGATCCAGCCAGAGCAGCTGGAGGGGTGAGGGCATGTCTGTGGCTCAACCCAGCACAGAGCAACCAGCAGAAGGAACTTCAAGGAGAACCACGGGATGGAGCTGGGTTTGAATCAGGTGTCCTTTCCGGGTGACTGGGGACAGTGGGAAAAGGGAGACCAGTGATAGGCACTGGTTAGTGAGGGAGTTGCCTCCCCAAACCACCTCAGCTCCTCTCGGTACCCTGAGCAAGGGGGATGTGCTGATGCCCCCCTGCAGATGCCCTGTCCGTGGCCCCAAGAGGCTGTTGACCATCCTCTGCTCAGCTTGTGGGTATTTTAAAGCATCCTTAGTGCAGGATTGTCAGCCCTGTGCCCTATTATAGAATCACAGATTGGTTCCACCCCTGCCATGGGCAGGGACACCTTCCACTAGCCCAGGTTGCTCCAAGCCCCGTCCAACCTGGCCTTGGACACTTCCAGGGATCCAGGGGCAGCCACAGCTTCTCTGGGCAACCTGTGCCAGGGCCTCCCCACCCTCATAGCCAAGAATTCCTTCCCAATATCCCATCTAACCCCACCCTTTGGCAATTTGAAGCCATTCCCCCCTTTCCTGTCACTCCAGGCCCTTGTCAATAGTCTCTCTCCATCATTTTTGCAGGCTCCTTCAGGCACTGGGAGGCCACAATTAGGTCACCCCAAAGCTTCCCTTCTCCAGGCTGAACAATCCCAACTCTCCCAGCCTTTCCTCCCAGCAGAGCTGCTCCATCCCTCTGACCATCTTGGTGCCTCCTCTGGACTCTCTCCAGCAGCTCCACGTCCTCCCTGTGCTGTTCCCCAGGGCTGGAGCAGCTCTGCAGGGGGGTCTCAGCTGAGGGGCAGAGGGGCAGAATCCCCCCTGCCCTGCTGCCCACACTGGGGGATCAGCCCAGCACACACTCTCCTGGGCAACCACGAGGGTTTACCCCACTTCCAGCTCTCCAGGCTGCTTTACCTGTGATTTCCCAAAGCTTTGGTGCCTCTGAGGAAGCAATGGCCATGCTCCTCCTGCAGCCTTGGTTCCCATCCCCAACCCCAGCTGGATGGCTCCATGGCCAAGCCCAGGCAGCTCCAGCAAAGAAACCAAAGCCCACCTGCAAGAAAGGTTCCAAGAACAGTAACAGCTTAAAACCCCTTCAGTATTTTGACCCAGGCAATGGGGGCAGCTCTGATGCCCCAAAGCATCACTTTTTCCATCAAAATTCCAGAGAGATGCAATCCGGGCACTCCGGTGGCCGCAGTTTTTCACTGTTTGTGGTCACAAATGAGCTCAAACTAATTTTCCCCCCAGAATTTCCCCCTCTAATCTGCATATGGGGAAGCTGAAGCTGTTTCTGAGCACTGGCTGTGAATCTCTGCAGCTGCACGTTTTCATCCTGCCTAAGCCAGGATTAATTGGGTTTGTGGCTGCGGCTCTGGAAAGCTCTGATGTCCCCACTACTGCTTGACTCTCGGGTTCCTTGGCAATTCTGGTTCCTCACTTACACTTTGAACAGAAATTCCTTGTTATTTTTAGCCCTAAAACATTATGAACATAGAGGAAACGAGACACCTACAGAAGTTGCCCCTGTGCAAAATTATGAATGATTCAAAAGTGCTGTCGCAATTGCCGACGTCTCCTTCTCCCAACAGCTTTGTAATATTAACAGTGTGAGGTTGCCTTGCTCCAGAGCACTGCAAAATACCTGAGAGAAATTAATTGTTGAACCCTGAATTTGCCTTCAAGAGAATCAAAGATAAAAGCACTGGGATCGGGGGAGGATAAAGAGAACCCCCCTCCTATACTCTGTGCAAAAGGAAACTGCGTTCCTGCCTCAGTTTCCCCCTCTCTGGGCATTGGGAAAGCAGAAATATTTGCACCAAGGGAGCCCTGTATCTCCTGATGCTCAGCCTAGAAGCTTTAAAGGATTGGATCAATTAATTTGCTGCTGGTGGCTCGCAGTGCAGGTGTTCAGTGTCCCCTGTGCATCCAAGGCATTGTGAGGCCACTTGCTGGAGCTGGAGCTCGGAGGAGCCTCTGAAGAGCTGTTTGGTGACTGGGGGATTTATATTTGTACAATGGCCTCACTGTAGAGTTAGACGAGCTACTGACATGGCAGTACTTATAGTCTATAAAACAGCAATTATGCTTGTTATTAGATCATCCCATTTACAGCCTGAATCCTTTGCCTATGGTGCATGCAAAGCAACCCAGGGCCTCTCCAAACGCTGGGCTAATCTGTACTAATCCATTATGTAAATCACCAGGACAATAACCAGAGACAAATGGTAAATGTCTTCCAAGCATCCGGCCCTCCTTAATGAAATTTGACCCACAAAAAATGATGGTTTGGTCTGCAGGTTGCTGAGAGAACTGTGTGCAAAGAACATCTGCACTTGGCAATTTGCAGACACAGTTTGAAGCCCTGGGGCACCTCCTGATCCCAGCCTTTTCACGGGGCTGCTGCTGAATTGGTCCCTGCACACGCAGCAAAGTGCTTGGGCTCTTTGAAACAGGACCCCTGCCCCCAAACCAGGTCATTCTGAAGCAGCTGCAGTTGCCTTGGGGGGATGCTCTGCACTTTGAGTCCTTCCAAAATGTGGTCTTTGTGAGCAGGACCTCGGGGGAATCTCTGGGAGTATAAAACTTGACTGGCACTGTTGTAGGTCATGAGTGAGTGTGGGTTTTTCTTACTTAAGGCCACTTGTGACATCTCTGGGTGGCAGCAGCAAGCGAGGCAGTGGATGAGATCCCGAAAGACAAGCAGAGCACGCAGAGCTCCTGACCTCAGGAAGAGCAGATCCATGGCCTGTGCTGGAAAGCTGCACCCGTGTGTCCATCCTGCCCCTGGACACAGCACACTGGACATCTCTAGTGGTGCCCAGGTGGCTCTGAGGGTGTCACTAGAGGAGTTTACCCAAACTGCTACTGCTCCTCGTTGCAGCTCTTAATAAGACTATGGTTACTCCTTCCAGAGCCTTTATTATGGATTCATCATTATTGATCCCTTATCCCAGAACTCCAGGCTACAGATGTTGAAGAGATAACGATGTGAGGACACTCTCTTCTCTTCCACGAGGTCTGGCACCAGTCCATGAAGGTCTGGGGTGTCCTTTGCTTGTGTGACTTGCTCTCCCATCGCAGCAGGGAGAAGCAAAGCCACAAGGGGATGCCAGATAGACTCTCGTCTCCGCCTGGATTTCTGCTCCTTGGGAGAGAAACTGGGCTGTGGCAATGAATATTTTAAAATGTGGGGCTTGGGAATCTCAATGGCAACATGTTTTAGCAGCACGCTTCAAAGCAAACACAGCCATGGCTGTGTCTGTGCTCCCGCTGTCTGTCGGCGCTCCCGAGCCCTGACAGACTTCCCGTGATCTGCAAGAGGGAGAGAGATGGGCTCTGCCTCCCCCTCCCCGCCCGCTTTTTATTCAAATAAACCTTGGGATAATTACATGCGAAAGCCCTGTGCTACTGCAATGTTGATATTGCACATTTGGGAATCGCTGCAGAGGGGATGCATGTAGGCAGAGCCATAAGGACGGTGGCAGCTGGCTGCCAGGCTGGCACCGCGCGCCCGCCAGCCGCCGAGCCTCGGCGCTCCAGACGCTTCCCACAGTCTCACACTTCCCTCAAACACCAAATTTCCTTCCGTGTTTGAGGTACCTGCCTGTGCCGGGCTCCTCCTCGCATGCCAGTGGCTCCGCACTGGGAGTTATTCTGGGAGAAGCCGCTGGAGTCGGCTCCGGAGCAGAGGAGAAGGGCTCGGGCAGAGGCTGGTTCGGGCTCGTCCGGGCTGGAGGCTGCTCAGGACTGAGCCTGGTGCAGTCCAGCTGTGGGGTCTGGGGTGTGCAGGGCTGGCCAGAGCAGAGGAGGAGGCTGAGGGGAGACCTCAGTGCAGTTCCAACTGCCTGGGCAGGGGCAGAGGAGGGGCAGGGACTGAGCTCTGCTCTGGGGGGACCAGGGACAGCAGCCAGGGAATGGCTGGAGCTGTGTCAGGGCAGGCCCAGGTTGGATCTCAGCCAAAGGTTCTTCCCCCAGAGGCTGGTTGGGCACTGCCCAGGCTCCCCAGGGCAGTGGGCACAGCCCCAAGGCTGCCAGAGCTCCAGGAGGGTTTGGCTGATCCTCTGGGGCACAGGGGGTGACTCTTGGGGCTGGGCCTGTGCAGGGCCAGGGGTTGGACTGGATGATCCTTCTGGGTCCCTTCCTACTTGACCTATTCTGTGATGCTGTCATTGTGTGAACTTGCAAAAACATGGAATATTTTCATAGGGAAAAGTGCCTCCACTATTTACACCACTCATCAAAAAGCAACAGAGAGGGAGGAAACCTGCTGTGCCACAGGGGTGGGAATGGCCCAGGCTCCAGCCCTGCCTCCAGCCCTCCCACTGGGCCGAGGCTGGTCCCCTTCTGTGCAGCCAAGGGCATGTTGTGTCCTCATGTCTGAGCTGGATTTTGCCAGTAAAAGTAACTTTCATGACAGACACAGCTTCCGTGATTATTTTTTTTTCACCTTGGCCAAATTTTCGAATAGTTCTACAGAAATAAATAAAAAAAAAAAGGGAAGGGAATAAAACATGAAGAACCTCTTGGAAATAATGCTGGAGGCTTTGGAATTTTGAAAAAAGCAGGTTTTCTTAAAAAAAAAAAAAACCTACAAAAACCCAAACAAACAGCCTAGAACTCAGTTTTAAAATCTGTACATGTTGTGGGTTTTTTTTTTTTTGCAGAACATCGAAGTTTTGTGCCCAATGATGTTTTTTATTAAATGAAACTTGTATTTTTTTTTCTCTCACGAAACAAGCAAAAGATCCAAAGGAAATAGCAACAAATTATCCTGGAAATAAGCACTTGCCATTTGCTGAGTGGTTTTGGAATATCTTCCACCAGGAAAACAGGCAAATTTTCCTGGTACATCTGCATGGACCCAGCTTGCAGCTGATCCAGTTTGTCCTGTCTGTGATGAAATCATTAGGAAGCCCCAAAAATTGGCATTCAGACCAAGCTGGTTGCTCTGTGCAGCTGCACCAGCATCTCCTCCACTCCCTTCCCTTTGCTGAGATTTTGTACCACTCGATTTCTTCTTTGTGCCTTAATCAAAACACGTGAAATTAAAAAAAAACCCAAAACCTACTTGGAGTGTTACTAGCAAAATGAACACAGGTGTGATTTTTTTGGGTATCTTGAAGACTTGCTCTTCCACAAATAACCCGTTGATAGGGGATGAGAGAAGGAAAAATCAGAAGATTTTGGGTGCACCATTCCCATTGCAGTAACTGGAGCTGAAGGTGACTGTTTCCCTTATCCCAATCCCAATGGGGCAGGAATTTATACTATTTCATAGAATTATAGAATCATGGAATGGTTTGGGTTGGAAGGGAACTTAAAGCTCATCCAGTCCCATCCCTGCCATGGGCAGGGACACCTTCCACTAGCCCAGGTTGCTCCAAGCCCTGTCCAACCTGGCCTTGGACACTTCCAGGGATCCAGGGGCAGCCACAGCTTCTCTGGGCAACCTGTGCCAGGGCCTCCCCACCCTCACAGGGAAGAATTTCTTACCAATATCCAATCTAAACCTGCTCCCTGCCAGTTTGAAGCCATTCCCCCTTGTGCTGTCACCCCAGTTCCTGATGAAGGATCCCTCTCCAGCTTCCTTGTGACTGTTATTCCAGTGACCTCAGCAGACCCAGGTGCCTTCCTGCCCACCTCCACAGCTCCCTGCCCTTCTGTCCCAACAGCTGTTCCCAGAGGTGGAGGGCATCTCACAGCTCCTTGCTCTCTATTAATTAATCTCTCGGTTTCTAGCACAGTTCTATGGATGGAGAAATCTTAGAATCAGAAGAGAGTTTGGTTAGAAGGGACCTTTAAAGGACATCCAATCCAACTCCCCTGCAGTGAGCAGGACATGCCACCAGACCAGGCTCAGTGAAGGTACTCTCAGAGTCACAGAATCATGGAATGGTTTGGCCTGCAAGGGACCTTAAAGATCACCTACTTCCAACCCCCTTGCAGGGCAAACTCTGGATTTGGGAGGTCAGTGTGACAGGCAGCCAGGAGCTCACCCTGATGCTCGAGGCTCCTGCAGGGATATCTTTGTTCCATCTGTGATGGGGGCCCAGTGCCCTCGGGTAACACCTCCTGATGCTGAACTGGGCTGAGGGCTTTGATTGATGCTTCAAACTGTGTGTGCCCACCTAAATCATTATTATGGTCATTTTGCAGCTCTTCTGGGTCCATTTTGAGAGTGTCATCGTCCCTGCTGGTGACTTTCCTGAAGTCCTGTGCGTGGTTCCCTGTTTGTAGCCGTGCAATTAACTGTAAGGAGATAAGACAGGTGTCACTAACATTTAGATGGAGTAGAAGGAAATAGCAATTTGCATAAATTAATTAAGAAACTGACCTCGTTCCCCAGTACTCCTCAGAGAGCAAGCAAACCCCCCCCCAGTTTATTAAGTCAATACTTAGTTTGACACCTGAATCAAGCTTTACCCAAATCGAACGACAAAATTAATCCACAGCAAAATGCACCACAAGTCCCTCCACTTCAGTCATTTATTTCTTAAGCTATCCCAGCAATTTATTTTTAAACATATCAGTACGTTATGTTCCATGACATTTCACATCTACAAAACACCATATGTATTGGCAAGTGATTACTCATTGAAACTGCCATATCATGGATGCAGCTATCTCTGGCAGCCTGGGTTTTCCCACCTCTTTTGGGTCTGTGCCCTTATTGTTCCATGGGCACTTTTTTATTGGGAAAATGGGCTGAGTGTCTGTTTTATCCCCCCTGAAAGACAGATTCGGGTTTTCTGTGCGCATCAGGAGACCACACCTTCCTTCTGTGAGCCCTGGAGGGGGGTGGGCATGGAATGCTAAAATTCAGAGCAGCACTTTGTCGCTGGAGAAGTCACTGGAAGGTGATGCAATCCCACCTGGCCCCAACATGCAGGCAGCAGGTCCTCTCTGACCTCTGCCATTCCCGTGTTCTGCTTTCCGGAGTGGAATTACAGCTACTCCAGCAAGCACAGCTTGAGGACATTATTCACTGCAGCTTAGTGATGATTTCAGAGCCATCCCTTGATGCTCACAACCCACAGGCAGTAACTTCAATAACAGAGCTGCAAACCTCCACCAGTACCTGTCTCGTGGCTGAGCTGACAAGAGCAAATTGGTCTGAAATATCCAAGTTGTGGGGAGAGAGTGAGTGAGGGGGGTTGTTACTGCAGGGGCTGCCAACAGATGTGTGGAAACACTGGAGCTGGGCTGAGTTCCTTCTACATCACAGAGCCATAGAATCATAGAATGGTTTGGGTTGGAAGGGACCTTAAAGAACATCCAGTTCCACCCCTGCCATGGGCAGGGACACCTTCCACTAGCCCAGGTTGCTCCAAGCCCCATCCAACCTGGCCTTGGACACTTTCAGGGATCCAGGGGCAGCCACAGCTTCTCTGGGCAACCTGTGCCAGGGCCTCCCCACCCTCATAGCCAAGAATTCCATCCCAATATCCCATCTAACCCCGCCCTCTGACAGTTTGAAGCCATTCTCCCTTGTCCTGGCACTCCAGGCCCTTGGAAATAGTCTCTCTCCATCTTTCCTGTTGACTCCCTCAGGCACTGGAAGGCCACAATCAGGTCACCCCAAAGCTTTCCTTCTCCAGGCTGAACAATCCCAACTCTCCCAGCCTTTCCTCCCAGCAGAGCTGCTCCATCCCTCTGATATCTTGGTGCCTCCTCTGGACTCTCTCCAGCAGCTCCACGTCCTCCCTGTGCTGTTCCCCAGGGCTGGAGCAGCTCTGCAGGGGGGTCTCAGCTGAGGGGGCAGAGGGGCAGAATCCCCCCTGCCCTGCTGCCCACGCTGGGGGATCAGCCCATCAAGATCTCCTTCCTCTGGGAAGTTGCTGTGATCCATTTTCCCTCTGCAAGTGAGTCTCCAGGAAAATTATTCCAAAGATAAACCTGAGAATGCCCATGGTTTTTCCCCTGCACTGAGAATTGGCTGAGCAAGAGGTGTGCTCACCCACTGCACACCTCTGACACCTCCCCATCTCCATTTCCAGCCCAGCTGCTGCAAGGGAAGAGCAGAAAACAGGAGTAAAGCACTTTTTAGCAAATCATCATCAGTAATAAACAGGATGAAAAAATGAATCCAGGTGCCTAAAGACAGAGTGCAAACCGTAATTAAAAGCTCCCCGTGCTGCTCTGACAGATGGTACAATACGTACCCTGAAAATTGTCCACGAACATTTATTTAATATCTGAGAGCACTGACTGCCAGCAGGCTGTGGGGCTCTGACTGCATCACCACTTCAGCAGTGACATCCAGGAAGAAGTTCTCTGGACTGCCTCCTGATTCCCATAAAACCCACAGACCATCCCGTAACTGATGTGAGGAAGGCCAGCTTCATGTTGTTGGGGATGCAAATAGAGAACCCAAGGCACCATACTTTGCAAAGATATTAAAACTTAGCATGACAATGAGGTGGTTTGTTTGGCTGTAGGAACATGTTGTGGTATTTTGAGGTGTGATTTGCTGTGGAAGAGCATGTTCTGCAGCACTGATGGGAAAAGGTTCTTTAACCTGCTCCTTGTTCCAGCTTAAAAAAGGCAGCACAAGAATAACTTGTGTACGTCCATCACTCTGCCTTTGTGCAGGCCATGGCAGGATCCAAACTCTTCTGCTTCTCCACTAATGAAGTTCAACAGGGGGAAGTGCTGGATTCTACCCTGGGATGGGGCAACCCTGGATGTTTGTACAGACTGGGAATGAGAGGCTGGAAAGCAGAACTGGGAAAGGGCCCTGGGGGTCCTGCTGGATGCCCAGTTGTCCCTGAGTCAGCAGTGCCCTGGCAGCCAGGAGGGACATCCCTGTCCTGGGGCATCAGGGAGGGGATTGTCCCGCTCTGCTCTGCCCTGGGGTGGCCTCACCTCAACATTGGGGCAGTTTGGGGGGACACAATGGAAGGAAGAGATTGAGCCATTGGAGAGTGTCCAAAGGAGGGACAGGGAGATGGGGAAGGGCCTTGATTTGAAGCGTGTGAGGACACTGAGGGCACTTGGTGTGTTCAGCTGGAGCAGAGGAGACTGAGGGGAGACCTCAGTGCAGTTCCAACTGCCTGGGCAGGGGCAGAGGAGGGGCAGGGACTGAGCTCTGCTCTGGGGGGACCAGGGACAGCAGCCAGGGAATGGCTGGAGCTGTGTCAGGGCAGGCTCAGGTTGGATCTCAGCCAAAGGTTCTTCCCCCAGAGGCTGGTTGGGCACTGCCCAGGCTCCCCAGGGCAGTGGGCACAGCCCCAAGGCTGCCAGAGCTCCAGGAGGGTTTGGCTGATCCTCTGGGGCACAGGGGGTGACTCTTGGGGCTGGGCCTGTGCAGGGCCAGGGGTTGGACTGGATGATCCTTGTGGGCCCCTCCAACTCAGCACATTCTGTGATTCTATGTAATATCCCTTCTGCTTCCATTTGCTGCTGCCTATTTATCCTTCATCCATTTTCACCACCCTGCTTACAACTTTTATGTGATTTTTCCTGGCTTTGGTGAGGCAGCTCTGCAGCTCATGGGCACCAATGCCAGGAGTCTGATGGTCCCCTGGGAGCCCCCGGGCTGCGCGTTGGTGGCAGCCAGATAAGCCTCTTGTGTGGGGCCAGCTCTGCAGAGCAGTGCTCTGCAAATGTTCCTGCTATTTGTAATCAGCTGTGGTTGTCACACTTTGATATTTGTTCTTTATAAGCACTCCTGCAGAGCTTGCCAACAGGAATGTTTTCCACACAAAGATGCAGCAGCATGTGTTTCAGACACGAATTTTGAACTTATGAGCATTCCACGTCGGAAACCTGAGGAGTCTGATGTGATTAAGAAGCAGATCCACATCACATGGCTTGTCTGCAGTCAAAACAGTCCCAGTTCTGAATTAGGAAAATCATTAAGCCTGGGCGTGATCGGCCGGCAGCTCCTGGCAGGGCGTGTGTCCCCGTTCCCGAGTTCACCCCGGCACCAACCCACCCCAACCAGGCCAGCAGAGCAGGCAGCACAGAGTTATTCAGCACAGCGAGTGAGGTTAATAAAACCCCAGGCTGAGGAGAGGGAAGCTGTAAAGTGGGAAAAAAAAGCTTTAATGCTTGCAGAAGGATGTTCTGCGGGATCACTGTGGGATGCTGAGCCTGCAGGAAATGCTGGGGAAGGCCCAGCAAGGTGGTGGTGGTTGGTCATAATCACGCTTGGGTTTAGTAGGATGGAGATTTCTTGTCCAAGCCCGCCCTGGAAGCTCTGAACTAAACTCCCTGGGCCCCATGGTGACCCTCCCCAGAGCTTTTCTCAGTGTGTCTCAGTTATGCTACAGCAAAGGCACCACTGGCTCTGAACTTCTGGGTGTGGAAGCCCTCAAAGCAGGAGAAACTACACTGTGCTGGGAAGAAAAGGGGAGGAGAAAGAGAAGAAATGTTCAGTAGTGCTGCTTGTGCCAACATGGAAAATGAGCCCACTGTGCTGGTACTGCAGGAAAGAAAATGTAGGCTCTCTCCTGGTCACTTAGATCAGGTGGCACCACTTAGGCATTTTGGCAGAGAAATGTCCTTGTGAGAAATACAATAGGTGGGTGATATTTGGCAGAAGGGTCAACCAAGAGGAATAAAGTTTCCTTGGTCTCTGCTACCCTTCATCAGGCAGCCTCAGAACCCACTGTGGTGCCCCTGCAGGGATTTGCCATGTTTTTTTCCAGGGAGCTCTGCCAGGAGGACACACGGTTGTTCTTACAAGTGGTCCTCACCTTTACTGCTGAAAATGATCCACGTGAAATAGTGACCAGGGAGATCAGGCTGGTACATCCGTGTCTGTCACTTAAAATGGGGACACAAAGCATGGCAGAGCCTTGATGTTGGCTAAAGCCATAGGACGTGCCTGGAAAGCCCCTGGCCAGCGAGGCTGGAGTCTGTTCCATGCCCCTCAGAGGGTCCAGCTCACAGCCAGGTGGTAATTCCTGTGAATCCACAGCTTTTGGCACCATGGACCAGAGCCAGGATAGGATCCCTGGGTGCCTCAGCCTTGCTGACCATGTTCCAGTGCCTGGCATCCAGAACCTGTGTAGGGTGAGTTGTTCCTGGCCCTGCTTTCTCTGCTCATTCCCTGCACGCAGGTGCCTGCAGGGGGTGTGTACTCTGCCACTGTGCAGTGCTTGCAGCTCAGTGACACCTCTGGCACAGGATCCTTTGGAGCAGGAGTGAGGGCAGTGGACTGCCAGGGGAAGTGTTTGGGTGTATGGATGTGCAGGGACAGGGACAAGGAATTCATCTGGACTCCTCCCAGCAGTTTGGGAAGCTGCACCATTTCTCTTGTCACAGAACACAGCTCCCAGCTGAGACACAGCTGCTCTGCAGGTGCTGCTCCTCTGTCCTGTGTCAGGGCAAGGCAGGATGGAGAAGGGGAAGTCAGAGCTCTCTCACAGCCAAACCCCCAGATCAGCTCAGCACTGGCATTTGGCAGCTCTGCAAATGGTTCTGAGGACCTGCTGCCTCCCACCTGCCTGTCCTGTCACCAGGCAGAGGGGTCCTAAGGCCATGATATCTGGCCACCCTGACAGAATCCCAGAATCACTGAGGTTGGAAAAGATCTCCAAGACCATCAAGTCCACCCTACGGACAAACCCACCTTGTCCCCAGCCCAGAGCACTCAGTGCCACGGCCAGGCCTTCCTTGGACACCTCCAGGGGTGGGGACTCCAAACCTCCCTGGGCAGCCCCTGCCAGTGCCTGACCACCCTTTCCAGGGAGAAATTCCTCCTGATGTCCAACCTGACCCTCCCCTGGTGCAACTTGAGGCTGTGTCCTCTCACCTTTAGCACATGCTGAGCCTGCAGCCACAGAGGGAGACACCACCAGGCACGTGGGGCTTGTCCCCGAGTCAGCACATGGGATGCTGGGCCCGTCCTCATCCTCTGGCTCATTGTTCTGTTGGCCACAAGGCATGAGGGGCTCTTTGCACCCTGCCCATGAGCCCTTAGATCCTCTCCAGCCCTGGACCTCCCCCCCCAGAGGGATCTCAGAGCATCCCAGCTGGGGTTAGTGAGCCAGCTGTGCCTTGGCCAATGCAAACCAGCTGCCTCTTCCTGCACATCCCAGCTCCACATCCACCTGCAGCTCACTCCTGAATGTTAGAAACGCTGAGGGGGACACAGAGGACGAATCATGGGCCATCATGTAGCTATTTCTCTTCTCTTGACCACTCAACAA